AGACGAACTCTATCCACGGATATTATTTTATTCAGATTAAATTCTTAGATTTTGCTAGACTACAAGTATAATCATTTGTATTCATGCTTGGTTTGACAGGGACATACAAGTATAATTATGATTAGAAAAACTCTCATGACGATGATAATTATTAAGCTTTTATAAGGAATAACAATAACTAAATTAAATCCATTATAATATTTTTTATAGTATATTTTTAATTTCATAAGCTTAGAAATAACAGACGAAAATTAGTGGAGGTTGTAATTACATAATGCCATTGCTTTTGTCATACAAATGGCGTGTTGCGTCACTCGGCAACTATTGGAAATCTTGTTCTCGCGTGAATATTGTAGTTTGCATTCTGTCCACGTAAGAATTATCTTAAAGTTATCTTCCACGCAAATTTATTTTCCAATTACAAAATCGATGAACCATGTAATTTGTATCTATCACTATTTATGATCTTTGATTTTTATAAACTTTTGACAAAAAACTTCTGACTTTCAGTTTTGACCCAATGATTGGTAATTTGGTATGTATATGCATTTTAAAAACCTAATTTAAGTTTTATTTTCTCGAGTTTTCCCATAATATTAATGTAAGTGAACATGAACTGTTACTCAAAATAAAGAACATTAAGTTGAAAAGTCGCACTACATGCATTTTGGTAATTCGTTAGTCGAAGTTTCGGTAATAACGAAACAATCTATCTATATATAAAAAAAAGTAAAACAAAACATAAAAAATATACAAAGACACAACACGATAATTAAAATGAAAACTAAACCTTTTAAAGTATCCGATAAAACAGATATAATATCCAAAAATGACAAAATAACAATTTACAAAATACTATAAAAATAAAATTGAAAGAGTGTTATGGTGGGGACGTTAATTGACTCGATTACGTTCATACATTACACACCTACTCCCATCACAATGAAACGCTTTACTCCAAAAACAAAAATAACTCTTCCCACAAAAAAAAAAAAAAAAAATCTCACAGTCTCACCAACCGCAAAATACAACTATCGTCAGCCACCAGCCACGACTACTTTTACCACCGTGACGTTGACGAGAACACAAAAAATACCACCGCGTTAAAATTTTGCGACGTAAACCAAATCCACGAATTATAATCCCCACCACTAAAATCCTTCGCACTACATCTAACGGTCATCATTAATTCTCAACCAACTCCTTCTTTCTCACTAATTTCCATTTTTCCTTTATTTTAAAATTATCATTATAGGAAAAAAAGAAAAAACTAGCTCTCTTAAGCTTACCTACCAACAAACACTACCACCTTATTTAAACCACCCTTCATTCATCTCTTTTCCCTCAGGAACAACAAATCAAATTCCTTAACCAACAAAAATAATAAACTCTCACTTCCTTAGAGATCTCTCCATATAATCTCCTCCTCCTTTTAAGTAATCTCATAAACGCGATATTCAAATGGAGACTAACGGATACAAGATGAACGGAGGAGAAGTGGACGCTATGTTATGCGGTGGAGAGATCAAGAAAAACGTCATGGCGGTTGCGGCGGCGGATCCACTCAACTGGGGAGCTGCGGCGGAGCAAATGAAAGGTAGCCATTTGGATGAAGTGAAGAGAATGGTTGAGGAGTTTAGGAAGCCAGTGGTGAATCTTGGAGGAGAGACTCTGACGATCGGACAAGTGGCAGCGATCTCAACCGTTGGGAACGGTGTGAAGGTGGAGTTGTCGGAGACTTCGAGAGCCGGTGTGAAAGCTAGCAGTGATTGGGTTATGGAGAGTATGGGCAAAGGCACTGATAGTTATGGTGTTACTACTGGTTTTGGTGCTACTTCTCATCGGAGAACTAAAAACGGTGTCGCACTTCAGAAGGAGCTTATAAGGTATATATAATTGGTTTTGTAGTAATAATCAAATTTTCTTGTTTCTTCTAATTATAACAATTTAGATATAAAATGGTTAGTATCTTTAGGTAAATACGTGGCGAGTAATACTTGGATGCAACATAAACTCTTCTTTATATATATGGAGAGGAAAAAAAAAAAAATTCTCAGCCAAAAAATGAAGAGAAAACAGAATTATAGTATTATTATTTTGGTGATTTTTTTTGTTTTCTTATAAGCTAGATATTTTTTTATCCTCCAATCAACTGATAAATTCCGAAATCTAAAAAAAGGAAGTAAATTAATAAATTTAAATAAATAGATTTGAATTTCAAAATCATATAAATCACGGGAAGCAACTTATTTAAGCCTTACGGTTATGACGTTGCATGGGAAATCTACGGGTCGGGTCTAATTGAATGGGTTAATATTCTGTTCGGGTTAATTAAAACTTTTGATTAATAAAATTAATTAACTAAATGTTTGCAGATTCCTGAACGCCGGAATATTCGGGAGCACGAAGGAAACATGCCACACACTGCCGCAATCCGCCACAAGAGCCGCCATGCTTGTACGGATCAACACTCTCCTCCAAGGATACTCCGGTATCCGGTTCGAGATTCTCGAGGCCATAACCGGTTTCCTCAACAACAACATCACTCCTTCTCTCCCACTCCGCGGTACAATCACCGCCTCCGGAGATCTCGTCCCCCTCTCCTACATCGCCGGAATCCTCACCGGCCGTCCCAATTCCAAAGCCACAGGACCCAAAGGGGAAGCCTTAACCGCAGAGGAAGCCTTCAAAATGGCCGGAATCAGCTCCGGATTCTTCGATCTCCAGCCCAAGGAAGGTCTCGCGCTCGTCAACGGCACGGCGGTTGGATCCGGAATGGCGTCGATGGTGCTATTCGAGACGAATGTTCTCTCTGTTCTGGCGGAGATTTTATCGGCGGTTTTCGCGGAGGTGATGAGCGGAAAGCCAGAGTTCACCGACCATCTGACTCACCGATTGAAGCATCACCCAGGCCAAATCGAAGCGGCGGCGATAATGGAGCACATCCTCGACGGAAGCTCATACATGAAATTGGCTAAGAAACTCCACGAGATGGATCCGTTACAGAAGCCGAAACAGGATCGTTACGCTCTCCGTACATCTCCTCAATGGCTAGGTCCTCAGATCGAAGTGATCCGATACGCGACGAAATCGATCGAGCGCGAGATCAACTCCGTCAACGACAATCCGTTGATCGACGTCTCGAGAAACAAGGCGATTCACGGCGGAAACTTCCAGGGAACTCCGATCGGAGTTTCCATGGACAACACGCGTCTCGCGATCGCAGCCATCGGGAAACTCATGTTCGCTCAATTCTCGGAGCTCGTCAACGATTTCTACAACAACGGACTTCCTTCGAATCTAACCGCGTCGAGGAATCCAAGCTTGGATTATGGATTCAAAGGAGCAGAGATCGCAATGGCTTCTTACTGTTCAGAGCTTCAATACTTGGCGAATCCAGTGACAAGCCATGTTCAATCCGCAGAGCAACACAACCAAGACGTGAACTCCCTCGGGCTAATCTCGTCTCGTAAAACAGCAGAATCCGTCGACATTCTCAAGCTCATGTCAACGACGTTCCTCGTGGCTATTTGCCAAGCTGTGGATCTGAGACATTTGGAGGAGAATCTGAAACAAACTGTGAAGAACACAGTCTCTCAAGTCGCGAAGAAAGTTTTAACTACTGGAATCAACGGAGAGCTACACCCATCTCGTTTCTGCGAGAAGGATTTACTCAAAGTCGTGGACCGTGAACAAGTCTACACATACGTGGACGATCCTTGTAGCGCCACGTATCCACTGATCCAGAAACTGAGACAGGTTATCGTCGACCATGCTTTGATCAACGGTGAGAGTGAGAAGAACGCGGTGACTTCGATCTTCCATAAGATCGGAGCTTTCGAGGAGGAGCTCAAGACGGTGCTTCCTAAAGAAGTGGAGGCAGCGAGAGCTGCGTACGATAATGGAACATCGGCTATTCCGAACAGGATTAAGGAATGTAGGTCGTATCCTTTGTATAGATTCGTGAGGGAAGAGATTGGTACAGAGCTTTTGACCGGAGAGAAAGTCACGTCGCCGGGAGAAGAGTTCGATAAGGTTTTCACGGCGATTTGTGAAGGGAAAATCATTGATCCGATGATGGAATGTCTCAATGAGTGGAACGGTGCTCCCATTCCAATATGTTAAGTCCTCTGTTTTCTTTTTTTACTATAAAGTTTTTTTTTTTTTTTTTTTTGTTAATGTCTGAATAATTTTTACCAAATGATTGTCTGTGAAGTGGTCTCTGTTTGTCTAATTTAAAATCTGTGTTTAAAACCCATTGTAAGTTCTCAAATGAACAATTTTCTTGTTACAAAGTGTGAAATCATATACCCTTTTTCTAAATTTTTCGGTATAATGAAGTCTTTATAACATAAAAATATTAGAAAAATGCTTATCATCTCGCAATTCCAATGGAATCATCTAAACATAACCGGTCTAACTCTAATGGAATCATTTAAACATAACCGATCTAACTCTAATGGAATCATATACTAGTATTAAGTGAATGTGATCCTTCTTCTAATTTTTCAATCTCTAGCTCAGACTTTTGTGCCAGCTTCCACCTCTCCAACAGTCTCATCATTAGTCAAAGATAATCTCGGTGCGACGGTGACCTATAAAGGCATAGATCGACACTAGCTTTGATTAACTTTAATGAGCTTTCATCATGCATTACCTTTAAATATGACGCATTTTACGAAGAAAATTGTCATGTTTTACCTATTTACAAATGTATGCAGTAGTTTGCCAAAATGAGAAAGTAGAGAGAAACTTGTTTTCTTCTTTGTAAAAGAATGATAGAAAAGGGTCAAATTTAGATTACTATAGTTTTTCTTGTCAACATTTCGTCCTAAACCTATGAAAAATAAACTCAAAAAGAAAAAGAAAAAAAAGCGAGAGTATGTAGTTAAGGCCCAAATTCTAAGCCCATATGGCCCATCAGAGTCGATACAGGTTCGATGCGTATAGAATATAGAATATCTGGCTCTATCTCTCTTTCTCTCTCTCTCTCTCGATCTACCCAAAGTAGCGGGAGCGAATAGTAAACAAGACCGACATGTCCGATCACCACCATCACCACCACCACGCGCGGCTGAACCGCCTCCGCACCACTGCCCAGCTCCTCCGTCAAACCACAGCTTCTTTCTCCTCTCACCCTCTCACTTTCCTCTTCTTGACTTTCCTCCTCTTCTCTTTCCACTCTCTCGTCGACCATTGCTCCCTCCTTCTCACCTCCTTCGTCGACCGTGACCCTTCTCTCCGCTCCCTCCTCTCTCGTCTCCCTCTCCAACCTCACTCCCACGCTCCCACGCGCCTCCACCATCACCGACGTGCTCCGTTTCTTCAGCTCACGCGCCTCGGCACCTTAGACGACGACTTCTTTTCCACAGACGAGCACGATCCCCATCGCCGATCCCTTCAAGGCTCTCCATTTCGTTCTCCGGTCAACGCCACATCTTTAATTTTCTCTGGATTCGAGGGCATTTCTGGATTGTCCCGCCCTATCGCCGATAACGGCCTTCTCCTCCCTCAGATCATTCGCTCGGGATTCCTTTTGCAGCTCAAAGATGACAACGAAACGAAATTCGATGAATCTGAGCACGATCTCGAGAAAGAAGAGTATGGCGGAGAGAAGAAAGACAAGGAATTCGAGAGTTTCGTGGATCTGAAGCTGTTTTTCAAAGGGTTCGAGCTTGGTCGACGCGACGCTGTGGCTCTGTTCTACCTGGTGAGCTTTCTATCCGCCGCGTATGGATGGGTGGTTCTTGGGTTTACCACCGTCTACTCGCTGGTGCTGGCGATTATGTTCGTCACCGTAATCAACGACTTGCTCGGTAGATTTCCTTCCTTTCTTGGTGTTGTTTGGAGTGGTTCAAGATTGGGGTTTAAGAGAGTTACAGGCTTCGTTTTGATGAGATGGGCAGTGAGAGATGCACTAACGCAGCTTCTGGGTTTATGGTATTTCGGAGAGGTCGAAGATCAGTACTCGTTTTTCAGGCTCTTTTTCAGGTTAAAGCTTATGCCTTTCACTGTTATGCCCCCATGGATTCGAGGTTTCGAGAAGGAGATATCTGGTTTCTTGTTCGCCTGGTTTCTTCTTGATACGTTCATTGGTTTGGTATTAGCTGTTGATGCCTTTGTTGCCATTGTGGATCCAAGGAGGAGGGGAAGGGAGATTGTGAAGGAAGGTCTCTATTTGGTATCTCTTCTTTTGCATCAGGCCGTGCAGCTCAAGTGTCTCGAAGCGATTCTCTGTGGGTCTTTCTTTAGATGGGTTCTGATTCGAATTGTAGGGAAAAGCTTTGCTTCTGTGATCCAGTCTGGCCTGGAAGTTTATTTCATGGCGGCTTGGTTAGTGTTCTACTTAGCAGCTAGGTGTAAAGATGCACACGCAGAAGGTAGGAGGTTTGGGAGAAGAGAAATGGAGAATTTGATTGATGGGATAAGATGATAATGAATTGGATCTGTGTAGGATGAGTTTTCAGTTTCAAAGGAGCAAACCAGTGGCTACATCTCTGCCAAAAGTTGTCATGACTAGGTTTCTTTGGTATTAGAATTACAGTTGATTGATATGATTGCCAAATTCAGTGTATGTACGCACGTAGGATTACTTGTGAGCTGTGAAAGAGAGGAAGCACGATACAACTACTGTGTATATTCATTTGCAAGATTGTTCTTTGTATATATCTTGCTGCAGTTGTTGATATCAATTTTTTATTTTTGGGTATGATAAATAGATCCAACCCTCCGATTATTCTGCTCGGCTTAAGTGTACCTATTTAGTGGCCATTTTGTCCAACCATTTTGATCTTCTTTATGTCAATACAACATGTTTATGCATTCTTTAGATTGATGCAATGGAGAGTTGGTTGCTCAACTTTTATGGTTTGGATTTCATCACCGATGTTTGAGCCCCTTGTTCTTGCTTACATATTCAATCGTATGAAAAACCCAACTCTTTGTCACAACTCACAAAATCTTATTTTTGGCTGAATCTTTCAAGAACTACATAAAGGCTATTTAATTTATACTTATGGTGATAGGATATAACAGCAGGGCAAGGTCATTCCCGATGGCTCTTACAACCAACAGAAGCTGGAGGTTGTTCCCATATGTTTTGCAAGAGAGTTGCAAAATTGAGTCATCTGGATTCAGAAACATTGCTATTTGCTTTTAAGACGGCCTGGCCTTTGTCTTGAGATGTGAGAGAAGGTAAAATTGCACTGTGCTCTCTCCCTCTGTCCTTTCTAGAAAATAATCTTTGTTAAGAGTTTTATGTTTCAGACTTTCAGTTAACTGGAAACAATGGAGCTCTTGTATGTTTCTCGAGTCATTTTCATGCCTAATGCCTTCTATTCAGTAACAAGCCTCTGGCTTTAGTGGCTTCATGTATATCTTTGGAGCTGGAGAACTGAGATCAAGAGTTTACTGCTTGCCATTTAGCTAACAACATTTTTCCCGCTGAATTTAAAGACACATTCAATACAAAAAGTCTTACATTATTAGTGTACTGCAATAGCTTAGCAATAACCAACATTCTCTTTAGAAACGTTGCCCGGATAAATAAATAAAATGTCTTGAGTTCCCTGTACAAGAACCTTCCTAGAAACACATGCAGTTCGTCTGATAATGTGGAGCAGCAGCGCAACGGACAACATCGAGGAAGGTGCTCACATCGCATGGAATCCATAGTCTGGAGTCAGCATTGAAACCGTAAGCATCCTGTGCTTGATCAAGCAATGCCTTGAAGAGTGGGTGTGTAAGCAAGCTGATCTTTATCACAAACCTCCTGGACTCGTCACCTACATAGACAACCAAGTGTCCCTTAGGGACATCTTTTGGTATCGCCTCAGCTTCCTTCTTGAATGCCCAGCAAATTCTTTCGTAGCATGTCTCACAAGAGGTACACGGTATTATGACTTTGCCTGTCATCATTTTCAGTTTCTTTTCACAGGACTTAATGAACTTGCTCTTCATTTTAGTAGGAGGAGAAGATTAGTAACAAGTATAGATAAGATAGTTAGAATGTTGTGATAAGAGAATATGTATTTGGATGAGAGTACAAGAGGTGAAGAACGGGTTTATGTATATATGCCGAAGAAGAAATATCAGAGCTCCTCATTAAATGTTTGGACATGACAGTTAGCCAATGGTGTGAGATGGGCAACTTTTAAAATGATACAGTACTTTATTCAACCGTGCGGTTCTGTTTTTTCTATTTAAGTTATATCTTGATACGAAACTGTACGAACACACACACTCTATGGTTAGATAGATGTTCAATATAAAAATTGATCTATATTTTTTGCATAGTTCAAATTGGTGTCAGAGTTCTTCAAGTTCATGGTGGATTAAGACCCCACAAGACAGTAAGAGCAGAGATAGAGAGGAGATAAGATCTGAAAGAACAGGGTCCAGGGATGGGTCTAAATCGTCTTGGAGATAGTGTGACCCTGGTTTATGATTCATGCATGAGATATTCTAAAATATACTTTCAGTTTGATCTGCAGAAATGGTTGTCTACAGATCTCTTGACTTTTCTTGTAATTGTGTTGGATCTAAGCAGCTCAAGGCTTTTTTCTAGCTCAAATGACTTCTTGAGTTTACACACATGGACTAATATAGAACCCTGCAATGATGTTGTCAAGTATGATCAGTATTTGCTGTATAATGCTGATCATACTTAGCAAAGTTATGCAGGATAATTTTTACTGATCGCATAGATAATGTAGTAAAAATAGACTAGGAAGAATTTGGTTCACATGGACTTCTATAAAACCATGAAAAGTTTGATGACAATTTAACATCTAAGTTATGAAGCTGTATAATGAGGTAGTTACTTGAGATTTTACCGATCAAAAAGCTGTTGGATAGTTACCAAATTACCGTAAAAGTACGTTTGGAGGATTATGGTTCACAAGATAGAGATAGGGATGGTGAAAGGGTTATTGTCTATTGGGAGGGTACATAGATGGAGAAGTGTCAATGTTGGAGGGTCCATTATAAGAGGGAAAGAGAGTAACATTGATTAGGGTTCATCCCCCTAAGAAGTCACAAAAATGTTTTCTTCTATGGAGTAAGAGATCCTCGTCGTTACACCATTTCTCCCCGAAAATGTCTCTCTCAGAATCTATCTATCTGTAATGTTTGTGTTGTGTGTGTGTTTTTGAAGTTGGTTTGAGTCTGTCAAAAATTGAGTAACAACGACTGCCATTCTGAAACTATGCTGGATTCTTCTGCCTTTAAATTTATTGCGTGCATGTGCAAACTCTTATGATGTTATCTATATACTTCTCTCTCTTCTCCCTTTTTCATGGAAGAGCGAAAATATCATATTCTATTATCACCAATTTATTATTATTGGCCACAGAGCATTTAGAAAAATGCCTTCCAAAGTCTAGAGTTTGGGGTTTAGAGTTTAGATTTTGTTAATCTAAACTATACTACATTTAAATAAATTTTTGATAAAACTCTAGAGTACTATCTTTGCAAGCTCCCATGATTTTGTTAGGATGAAAGTATAAATGGATCTTAAACTATATAAATAAGAAACAAGTGATTAAATTATCGGTTCGTGACACTTAACTCAAAACCATGAAAAATCATCTGTTAAATAAGATATGTCAAGTTAATATTCTTATTTACGTTTCAAGGGTAAATTTTGTAGGATATCAAAAAAAAAGGGGTAAATTTTGTTTTGTTTTTTTTTGTCAAAAACCTATCTATGTTTTGTTTTTTGTTTGCATTGAACATCACAAGTCACAACTATTCATGGTTGTTCTGAGCACACGTGCAGTGCCGGTGGTCTTTGGTTTGAACTTGCAAACTGCAGACACTGTGTTTATATTCGATAGCGATTTGGAATCCACAAATGGACCAGCAAGCAAGGGATCGAATTGAGCAGAAGAAGGAAGTGAGGGTGTTTGCTATTATATTATCCAGTGTTACATAACATAACATTTGATTCACCTGATTTTTATGAATGCTATAACTCATGATTCAACTCACAATTAGCTTGTTGATATGTCAAATGTAAAGCTATGTTTAAAAAGTTAATTTACCATCTCCATGTAAGAATTTTCTTTTGCGTCACTTATACAATCAATTCAAGAACAGTTAATATTGCAATTTTAATTATTTTAAGCTTGCATTATTAAAAATTAAAAAATGCATTATCAAAAGGATCATTCTAAAAAGTTAAAAAATACACAAGAAATTCACAACTTTTAAAAAGTCTAAACTTGACTTGAATCTGTCGGTTCCAGCTTTCGAGGTCTTTGGTTAAATATGGACCCAGTATCATTACGAAAATGTTTCTGTCTGTATTTAGGTTTCTAAAACTACTGTATACAAATGGTACTTTACGTTGAGGATGCTTCGTTCAATTAATGGTATATAGTATTCTTCTACCCCAAAACAAATAAAAAAACTAACGATATTCTTTTTGTAGGGGGGGGGGGGGGACAACAATACCAATTACCAAACACCCTCACTTCCTTCTTCTGCTCAAATCACAAATAAACATAATTACAATCTATATCACATATTCAGATTTAAAGAGAAAACTCCAAAAAACGAACAAAACAGATATAAATATGTATGGTGTTAGTTAGTTTGATAATTTTATTTCTCCTTCAACAATTCGACATCCAAACAACTTTATCTGAAACTAAACTACACAACTTGATAAATTCTATTACATAAACTGAACCAAGAACATATTTATGTAAACTTATATGCAAATGATGAAAATTTCCCATTTTTAGCCAACCTGTTTTCTTGTTTCCGAATTCTAAGTAGTCTTCAACAAGAATGGTAGACACTGAAATTGCAAGAAACCATGAATGTTCAGACATATAAAGAAGCCTATCCTGTTTTGTAAGTAGTCTTCAACAAGATTGTGTTGCTGCTGTTTGTTATGACTATTCGCATTGGAGTATGCATGGAAAGGAAATGAACAAAAGAAGTCATACTTAACAAAGTATGTATTTAATATCCTACATAGAACTTAAACTTTCCAAAAGAGTTAAAACGATTCGGTTCTGATTTTAATTTTCTATGGACTATCAATATCAACTCCTCTTCTTCTTCCTATTTGAAGTGCTTCGGCTTCTTGAGTAATCATGAGCGAAACACAATGATTTGGAGTCGAGTGAAGCAAGTTCTCTTACACGAAGTAGTATATCCTTCGGGATAGTGCGAGACGCTGATCTTCGTTTTTCTTCAGCCTGAACATTCTCAAAATTGTGTTATACAAGATTTCTCAAAAATATAAAAATTTTGATGACAAAGTAAGAGAAAAGACAAACCTCTTCATCATTATACTTGATATTACAACATGCTTTTAGTAGATTACGCCACTTGTCCTGCAGAGGTGTGAGGAGAAGAAATGAGATACCAAAGCACTTACTAAAATGAAGAGTTTGATTTTGAGGTTAACGGTGAAATACTCTGATATCGATGGGTGTGCGATACGATGCGGAATCAAAGAAGAGGTTCTTTATATCGGTCCATTTGCCAACACCAAAATGAGAAATACCATCAAGCAACTTCACCACTTCATCAACAGTCCACATCCTCTGATGCTTTCTCCTGTCACTTCTGCTTTTGGATCTGTTTGTTACAGAAATGTAATCTTCGCTCTCAGATGAAGTTTGTTGATCATCAGATATTGTATGCTCCTGCAATATCAGTTGGTCTTTGGTTAACATAGATTAATCATAAAGAGAAAACTCAATAGCCTTACAGAGTGATAAATAAATAATTCAAACCGTTTTAGTATGAATGCATTTCTTCAGAGGTCCATTCCGAGGCCTGAAGTCATAGGACACACAAGACGTTGTTCCATCCAAAGAATCTAATCTGCAACATGAAAATGACAGTTTTACTTTGATGTATGTGGGATTATTAAAAAAATGGAATAAGACTTTAATCGCAAACAAGATGATCTTCAATATTTACCTACTAGAGCTGGTGTTACGGAAGTTCTTTTTTCGTCTCTTGCCTCGTCCAACCCAAGAGCCAATAAAAGTGGATAATGGTTTCTTGTCATCTTCTGACTCATAGAAACAACGCATATCGTTTGAATTCGTAGCCAAGCTATCTTTAACTTTTCCACTGGATACGTTCTTGGAATCAGTATGTCGAACAGTTTCATTTGACCACTCAGAGAATCCGATGCTTCCACTAATTCCAGGAGAATAAGATTCTGAACTGAAGTTCGTAAGACCATAAGGGTGACCATCTGATTCAGATACTTTCTTCTTGACTTCTGTTTCTGCAAGTAAGTTATCGAATGGATTGTAAATCACACATATTGCTCAAATGCAGTAAGATGATAGAATCACATAAACTTACCTGGAAGGAATTGGTTACCATTACCAATAGAAGAAAGATCATGTGATGCGTAGATATCTTCCACTTCATCAACTTCATCCAGAAACCCATCAAGAATCTACGAGATGAGTATACACCATAAGAACTTCATTTCATGAATGACCAAGAAAGAAACCATGTAATAGAGAGGCAAAAAGATAAACACATACTTCGAGCTTTAAACCTGCTTCCCCATCTTGAGTTTTACAAGAGTGTAGACCACCTTAAGACAAAATGAAAGATAACTCTTGCATTAACACATTTACAATGTTGCAAAGCACTCAGCATAAGAGCACTTTAATTTGACTTACCATAATCTGGGAGAAAGCTAAAGTCAAATCCATGAGAAAATTCCTCCATCTTGGAGCTAATGCCCATAGTCTCCATACCGAGACCTAAGAAACTATCCACCGCCATATTGTCATATTTAGGTTCCATTAGGAAATGCTTCACGTCATTCATTTTATCCTGAATTGAATCAAAAATACTATCATCAACCTATCAAGAAAAAAGATATATAAAAATCGATTAAATCACTAGATATTCACCGTAATGTACAACAACCTAAACCAAGGAATACAAGTGAAGAAGAAAGGACATATTCTTACACTCTCACACTTCAATCTAGCAAAAGTTTCAGGAAAATCCGGTCTCCGGTCCATCCCAAAATGCCAAATTTAAGTCAAGTCCATGTTTTTACACTACAAATAACAAAGTATGTCACAATAATTGAACAGAACCCGACAATGTTGCCCATAAACCAATCTAATATAACATGCCATGACAAATCACAAGCTAGATTCACAGAACTGAATCTCAGCTCTCTTTCAGAAAATCTATCAAGCAATTTTGTTTCCCAATCCATAAACTAACTAGTAAAAAAATTCAGAACTTGAAACATGTTCTCTCAAATTTTTTAATAATATACACATACTTAAGTGCAAAGGACAGACATTCTTGGCGATTACAGTACAAAGAACTATTCCTAGACAGATATCTGTCGGGTGATTTTTACGATAAACACAAAAAAAAAGAAAATCAAAATTTTCAGCTACAGAAGCTTAATGCTTTTAATTGAGAGTCATATGCAATGGAATTGAGAAACAACAAACAAATAACAAAACAAAAATGAAGTATAATGTGGGCCAGAGACACACAGCTGTTACACTTACACTATAGTATTGCCCACAAATTAAAAAATGAGTAATATTTTCTGAGAAAGAAGAAATCTCGCTGCTTAGCTTATCCTCCTTAAACTAACGCCTAATCCGAGAAAACAGAACAAAAATCCTTCGCAACAGAACGAAAACTCATAAAATAATTCACGAGGATCATACATACATTGCGATCTATCTCAAACAAGAATCTAAAACTTTTAGAAACATTTCCATTTATAAAACTTACTAGTTACGGATAAGAGATCGTTCAAGAGAGAATCTTAAGACAAATGTCAGATAAAAAAAAAGACAGTAAGCTGAGAATTAAAAAAAAAAGTTGCTAAAGAGAGACGACGAGAGGAGAAGAGAACACTACTGACGGAGATGGTGAATCAATGGCGACTGTTGGACTGGGCTGATTTTTTTTTTTTTTTTGGTTTCTTGTTGGCGGATTCCAAAAAGCTTTATTTATTGAGTTTGAAAATCAGAATGACGTAAGCAACCGTGTAATATAACGTGCGTTTTAAGTCCGCAACGACGACAGATGGTGTTCATGAACGTGTACTGTTATATTACCCTCTCTCAGTCCGGGAAACGGAAAAGTTGCGATTCCTTTGACGCCGTTAATGACTCATTTGACGCCGCCTTTCACCCCGTCTAAAAAGAATTAAAAAATGGGCTTTAGGTGAAGGCCCATACTTTGAAGTTCGGTAACGCAAAAGAAAAACAACTGTTCGTTTTCCGGGATTGCATACTAAACTAAAAAGGGTCTATTTCTTGCCGTTTTGGTTTACAGAGAAACACTCCTTGCCGTTTTTATCCTGAGCTAAACAACATAGTCATAAGAGAAGAGAGCAGATAGAGTGAAGAGTGAAGACTTAGGATTGGCCTTGGACGACAGGAGGATCTCCACCAGAAATCAAACCTCGGATCTTGACATCATAGTAAACTTCTTCGACTCTTCTTAGGTCATATTTCATGCCTGTCACATGTCAAAACGAAAAAGATTATGTTCACTATCTCACACTTAGATATATAATATATATACAGTTGGAGAAAGAGACGGCTTACTATCGAATTTCTTGCGGAGAAAATCGTTCCTGAGATTGAGCATGCGAAAGGCTGCATGAAGATCCGTCAAAAAATTCATCACCTTTCTTGGGCAGTCATAGTCTCCTGCTGTCACTCGATTGACCACGTACCTAGGCTGCTCAAACATTGCATCACCCGGAAAAAACATTTATCATGATTCCCATTTGCAAAAAATTTTGATCTTCATAAGGTTTCTCATTAGTTGCTATTAAGTGGGGATGCCAAGGGGGGAAAAATGGAAAAATGATCTTACCAAATCGTTTGACATGAAACAAATTCCTGCAAATTATTGAAAAGCTTAAGATCATGATTTATATAAGTATTGGATTCATAAAATGTTTTGAAACTTATTGATACTGGCCTCCCAGACCAAACAGAAGCTGTTTCTCAAAAACATACCAGTCAGATAATCTTCGGTCTCCAATCCAAACTCCAAACTGTTCACTGAAATATAATGAAATGGAATTAGAAGAAACATAACGATAGATGATTTGACCAACAACATGTTCTGGTTATTTTCATCAAAAGAGAAACATGATTTGAGAAGATTTCTAGCAGCAAACCAACACTAAGGGAAATTGCCTAATTTATACCAACGTGATGAAAACCAACCTCGGCATCATCATCCATCTTCCATCCTAAGGAAAAATAACTAGGTTTGGGAGTAACAGAAATAAATAACTCATGTGAGGATTTCAGTAGGATAGTCTACTGCTAGATCAGCTGGTATCTATTGTGGGAAAGGGAAACAGATATGTCTTGTCCTGTAATTGGTTCAGATTGGAGTGTTACGGATGCTCAAAACTCATCCCTTGTGAGAGAAATACCAAAAAGCAGGTTATGTTCTTAGTACAAATACCAAGCCATGATATATATATTTGGAAGAAAGAAAAAGAGTGAACAGAGATCCAGAGACATACACCCAAGTTTTTCTTCAGCTTCCGTATGCACAAGAAGAGTTCCAGTTTCTAGCCAGTGCATAAAAGCAAGCTGGGAGACCACTGCCTGTGTTTCACTTCTCCAATCCCCATGGTACCTAATTTACAAAAAAAAAAACGAACTTTCATCATTAAACCATTTCAGAAAATGCATTGCAAATACAAGTTAGTGATTTATAGTTATCAAATTTACCTATAGTACTGTCCAGGACACTTCTGAAGAATTTGAGCAAGCCGGCCGTAAAACTGCTTCAAGTCAGTGATTTTTTCCTTAGCTTTCTCGATAACCTCTGATCCGTCAACAGAATGCGAGTTAACAACAGTTTCAAGGATTATCTTAAAGCACAAAAGTCTTGTGTCATTCAATATTCATTCTTTCCTTAAGAATGAATATTCAATCTTCATTTTGAATTTTCCTCTTCCTTACAAATAGAAATTCGTCACCAAGTTCTGAATCTAAGGGAAAGATCTCTACCATTCGTTTCACAAGAACAATTTGCAAAAGATGCAATTTCAACCTATTTTGTTCTAACTAAGGAAACATTTACTCAACCGTCAACGAAACACAACTAAATCATTTGGAATTGGAACGAATTTCGCTTCTGAAGACAAGCACAGTAACAAAGACTCCGAGCTCATAAGCGATTAGAAAAGTACCAAAACAGAAGACGTTTTTCGAATGCAATTACCGGGAATAGGTCGCGATTGATGAACGAGGAGGAGGTTAGCTTGAATGAGCCTCGTGGCGGATTCAATCTCCATAACAACAGCACGAATCTGCTCACGCAAAGCTGCAGATTCTTCCAGCTGAGCACGGAAATTCTCGAACTGCTTCTCAAGCGAATGCGACGTTGGTGGAGGCACCTGATCATCTCCTCCCGCCATAGGAATATAGAAAGAAGAAGAAGAAGAGGAATATGAGCAGAAAGGGAAGGTAAAGGAAGGAGATACTACGTTTCGACGGCGAATAGGAGTGGAACGCCGAGGAGCAACCTCGCCGGAATAAAGAGGGAGAAAATGGAGAATCGAAGAGGAAATGGGGTTAGGGTTTATCAGACGAGACGCAGTGAAGTGAACGTTTCGAAACGCCGAATTCATCATTGTTAACTTGCGCCGCTTCTAATTCTCTTTCCGCCACCGTCTTATGAACCGAAATGAAAATAAACCGAATCAAATAAACCAGACCGGATCAAACATAATTCAATTTTTACTTCGTGGAGTACCTATTATAAACCAAGAACATACCAATCCGGTTTCTTCGTAATCACATCATCTACAAAATTTTCTTTTACAAAATGGGAGTGAAGTATGTGTAATTCTAAAAGTCTTTTCTAGCTCTACAAACTACTTAAATAACCCTTTTAGAATAATGTAGCAAAAAAAATAGAACTTTGTTACAAAATTTTTATACAATATGTACGCCTTTTAAGTCACGGGTAATAGATTATTTCTTCTTGAAGGTAACCATGCAGAAATAAGCAATGAATCGGCATATTATACCCATGAGAAGAAGCACAATGAGACATAAGACCCAATCACTAAGATCATATCCGTATTGTGACAATGAGCTGCATCTAGTCACCACCCACACTCCAGAGTACCTAAAAACCAAAGTACCCAAAATCAAATCTAGTGAATCTTGAATGAGATTATGTGATGAAAACAAATATAAACTTTCTACCTTTGAGCGTTGGATAGGACAAAAGCTTCAAGTGTCCATTTGGGGTAGCAGAAGCTTCCAAGATACTTGAGAACAATGCTATCTCTATCTTGATTCGCGATTAGAGTCAAAACAACGGGTACTAACACCGACAACTGCAAGAACGAGACCATATGGTTAGTGAAAAGAAAATTCGGTTGCAATATATAAAATCTTGTGGAGCTTTTATGAGTTATGAGTAAGTGAAGACAAACCAATTGGGCAGCACTAGGACTGTACAATATGGCAAATATGTAAGCCATGCCCGTTACGCAGTAGACCAAGCATACTAGTACAATGTAGTTGTCTTCGAAACTAGATCTTGGGTTGTTGAAGAAGTAGAACATGGACAAGTAAACCAAAGGTTTCATGATTGTGTTCAAATGGTCCATTGTGTCCTTTGCCAAAAAATGTGCCAAACTGCTGATTCCAGCAGCACTTTCTCTCCAATATTGTAGTTTGTCTACAGAGAATGATCTCAACGCTGAAATCTTACACAAAAGAGCTACAAGAAAAAAGATATTTAAGAATAAAGCTTAGTTAATGGTGTATGAATATAAATCAATATGTAATTGTGTATTTTGAAAACTTACAGACAGCTATAATCGTGTATGTGTAGCCAAGTGAACCAATGGTCTCGTCGTTCACCTTCGCAAGAGTTCCTAAACAAGCTCCTGCAACTAACAATATCAGAAAATCTAGCGCTTGTAGTCTTGCTTCTCTAAGTCGTTGTTTCCCAACCCTGAAAAAACATATAAACAAATATTTTATTAAATGTAGACATGAAAACTAGCTCGACATGGATTTTAATTTTGTCATAGTCTAGAAAAATCATACCTTCCAATAAAATATCTATATTGTCGACCTACACTAGGAGTTACTCGATTAGAATTGTCTTGAGAACTGGAGTAATTGTGTTGTAGCTGATCTTTCTGTATCTCCACGTTAGTCTTCACATCTTGCCATAAATCATTACTAAAAGAGTTATGAGAGGAATCATCTTGAGCTGATGATCCAGATGATGATGGGAGTCCATCACAGAACTTCAACATATCGTGTGGCACAGGGTAACCATTGTGAAGCATCCATCTCACAGGAAGTTGTTCTATAGTGATATCACTATTTGGTTTCACTATGCCTTCAAGAATATCTATGTAATGGTCAGGAGGATTGACACGATCAGGAACCGTGATACCAATTCCAGCAAAATATTCTTCGATTTTCTTGACTGATCCATGATACACAGTAAGGCCACCTTTTGCTAGTATAATCATGTCATCGAACATCTTGTACATCGTATAACTGATCAAAGAAAATAACTCATTATTGAGCTCATAACATCAAAACAAAAATAGATAAACTCATTATGGACAAAACATACCTAGGTTGATGCACGACCATACAAATGTTAACCCCTTCAAGTGCTTCACGTCTAAGTGCTCTAAGAAGTAACTGCGAAGATGCACTATCTAAACCTGTGGTTGGTTCATCTAATATCAACAGAGAAGGTTCCATGACCATTTCAACACCAACGTTCACTCGTTTCCTCTGCCCTCCAGAGATTCCTCTTTTCTCTACCGTGCCAACCAAGGAATCTCTTACATGTTGTAGTCCTAAGCTTTCAATCACTCTTTCAATGATCAACACTTTGTCTGCTTTTGGCATATAAGCACTTAGTCTGCATCTTGCGCTAAATCGAAGGTTCTCTTCAACGGTAAGATTCCCATGGACAACATCATCTTGTGGGACAAATCCAGTAATCTTCTTGTATGAGTTTATAGATTCATTTCTACCATTTATGAGAATTAGACCGGTCCTTGTACACCCAGTTGCCTTTCCTGCCAAGGCAGAAAGAAATGTAGTTTTTCCAGCTCCTGATGGGCCCATGACCGCGGAAACACGGCCCGGCATGATCTTTCCGGTAACAGATCTCAATATATGCTTATGTTTACCCTTCAGTGTAAGAGTTAAGTCCTTGAACGCAACCTCTATAACAGGCCTAGTCCTAATCTCAGTGTCAGTGGCCATGGAAATAACTCCTGAGAATGTCAAGTTCTTGTTGTTTTGCTCCATAGCTTTCTCCTTCTCAATCTGACCATATGCGTACTTAAAAATCTGGCTTTGAGTATGTAGCTGTTTACCCTTTGGAGCTTGCGGCTTCTTCCCGTGCTTACTTCCAGTCCCCACATTAAACCCTTCATGGCTACTTGGGTTCTCCTCCATTGATTTCATCATCTTGGTTAGATTACTCGGTTCTTTTTTCTTTTCTTTTGACATTCCAGATGCTTTATCAGGTGTATCTTTCTTAGACTTCATGCGAGAAAATGTTTGAGATAACTGTGCAGACAATCCCATCTTTTGGTTCTTGGCAGCACCTCTTGCACTTTTCCACCTTTCTCGAGCTTGTGTTGTTTCTCTTGCGTGTCTCGCTGCTGCTTCTCTCGATTTTGCTTGTCTTTTCTCTCGAGTGGCAAGAACTTGATCAGAGCAGTTATAAACCATGATCATCAGAAGACTTAGTGACGCCTACATATACAATAAAGAAACTCTAATTTACAAACAAAAGCAAAATGTAAAACTTTCTTTATTATCAAGTAATAATAACTAACTTACGATTAAGATGGCTCCATAGGCATGAATATTTTGGTTTGCAGTATTTGGATTACACGTTGCGAGCTTGAAGCATGCTAAAACAGCCACCAAGAAAAGAGAAATAATTAGAAAAAAATTTCATATCTCAAACAAAGCATTTTCTCTAGTTTTAGAAACTTACGTTTTTGTGAAGTAGAACCTTGTCTACAGTAGTGTCTGAGTAATACATAAAAATGATAATTTATCAGCTATGCATAATAAAGGAAAACTATGTTTTTTTTACTGTCACATTACATTCTTATGATGAATATTTCACAGATGAACAATTATTCGAAAACTAACAAAAGTTGTGAGATAAAAGAATCAATACCCACTACTACAAGTGACCTTTCGAATCGTGGTTGGGCAATATGATCCTGGAGAGCAAAACATATCACCACTACTCTCAGCATCAACCCAACTATCTGCAGAACCACATGTATGGTTCAATTTTCCCGGAGGAATTTGGTAATTATATCTGCAATGAAAAAACTCTTTAATCAACTTACTAATATCATTTTTCACTACATTAGTAAATGGATCTAGAGAGAATTAACAACTCACGGCTCGCAAACTCCTGTTGTTTTATTAAGCTTGGCAAGTGGGCAATAAGAGCCTAATGGACACGCTCCGTTTACATAAGTCAAAAAGAGTAAAACAGCAATGAAGATGTTAGATTAAATATCCTAGTACTTAAAAATGTTGATATATAACATGTTTTTATTTATTTATATGGATTTCTTACGTATCATGCACGCTAGACCTTGAGGACAAAAGAAGCCCTCACAACAAGGTTGGCATTTACGAGTTCTAGATGGAAGAACTTTCCCATTGTTAAGATCAAATCTTTTATCATCATCTGCATTACAACTCCATCCGGGCTCGCATCCCGAAACCCATTTGGCCAAATTGCAGTTGACATTAGGTTTTACATGAACCGTTACTGCTTCGTCCCTTCTAACAAAACTATTGAAATAGAACTTTATCTCAGCAGCCGAACATAGTCTAAGTGTGAGGTCACCTGCATAACATGAATAATGAAATCTCAATGTTGAAGTGTTTGACTCAATGATTGTTTTTTAAGATTTACCAATTTTTCCTTTTTACCATCGGTTTTCTTGACACAATTGCTTAAGAAGTCCAGGTTTTTATCAAAATCAAATGCTTCATCCCAATCGTTCTTCCTGAATTATCAATAAATATAGACAAAAATGTAAGATGTGAATATATACGTACATATGCATATGCTCAAACATGGAACTGATAAATCCGTGGATTTTGAGAATGCTTACAAATTTTTGATGCAATATCCTAAATCACGATCAATATCAGCCTTTAAGACATTCTTTAGATTCTGAAGTCGGTTATAGACAAGGTTTGTGACGGGAACAAGAACTTTAGGATTTCCTGTTTTGCTGTAATCATCTCCATCCAAACATGATGCAAGAGATATAAAACCCAAGCCACAAACGAATAACAACGAGATGTGTTGTAGCCAACCAACATCAATCCTTATTATTTTCATTGTTCGAAATCAAAGTTTTGGTGAAAAATCAGTACCAAAATCTTTGAATTGCCTGAACATATAGTGGAATCGATACATTGGACGCTACCAATAGAAATATTCGTAGAGATGTCATATGTCTCTCTATCAAGTCTTGAGAACACAAAAAAAAAAAAAGCAGCCGTCTTATAAAAATCCAAGACGATAAAACTAGAGAAAATTTTGAAACATTGGAGATGAAGAGTTAACACAAAATTAACGAATTTGTTGAAGAACAAAAAATGAAAAAAAAAAAACTTGAAATGGTAGTTGGAATTTGGAAAGGTGAGAGACTTGTGTGGAAAAAAAAAAAGATAGTTGAGAAGGGTCAACGTAAGAGTCATGATAGGAGATCCATCTTTCTAGCAAATGAAAAAAAAAAAATATTGGCTGAGAAAAAAATGAGTGGTTTTTTATAATTTGTTTACCAAAAATAGAAATGGGTGGCTATATTGATGGAGCAGCATGACAAAGATGATTGTTTGGATTTCATGAGAAAATTCTTTGTGATCTCCCACAGTAATTTAGCTTAGGTTTTTGCCAAACAGAGTGACAGATATTATTAGAGACCACTAAACAACAAATCTGAAGAGAGAAAAATTATATATACCATTTTAAGCATAAGACACCAGTTTATAACAAATGTGTTTCCGAAAACAGCCATGCAAGATGAGAGTAGATTTGATGTACACAATTATACTGCATTTGACAAACTTTTGCAAATTTAACTGTGAATAAAACTGTTCTTCTAACTTTATCAATTTTATTGTTTTCTCTAGCTTCATTATCAATAAAAGCATGATGTGACGAAATTTTACACGTAGCAAAATGTCTCCTCATTTTCTTCCAGTTATCAAACTTTTTGTACATTATCTGTTATCTCCGAAACCGAAAACATAACACTCCTAATTAAAAATACTCGAAACCTACAAAGATTACATTTAAAAACGTCAAAACGAAAAGCTTAACTTTACTGGTGGTGGTGATGGTTTCTGCGATCCTCAAACGCCTCTCTCTGTCTCCTCTCCTCAGCCGCAATCTCAACGTCACTCTCCGCCGCCGTCGCCGTAGCCATCGGCTGCAAAAGCATCGCCGTGAACGGCATGTGACTGTAACCATTCACCGGATACTGAATCCCGATGGGCTGACACAGATCAAGCCGACAATTCGGCGTTTGCATCTGCGTTTGCGTTTGCGTTTGCGGCGCAACCATCGCGAACATCATCTGCGGCGAGGAATCAACCGCCACCGAGGATGAAATCGGCTCGGAAGGATTGATACCGGAGCCCGTGGCGGCGATAATCGACGGTTCGGCTTGGCTGAGAAGCCATTCGATGGTTTCTCCGTCGGATCGGTGACCGAGCTCACGCGTCAGCTGGAAAATCCGAGCGGCGGCGAGAGCTGGCATACGAACACGACGGCCTCTTCCGTTAACTTTAGTGTGACGGTCCTTGGACGCGGCGGAGGGTTTCGAAACAGCGATCTGCGATTGTGGACGCGATTCGGGAGCTAAAGCGTTGGGACTGGACTCAGTTGTGGTCAATTTTTGAAACACCATCTTTGAATTCATCGATTTGTTTCTTCCCTTTTTAGGTATTTTAGTGATGAACTAGATTTGCTTGTGCTTTACAGAGAGTGAGAGAGAATCTTAGGGTTTAATTAAAACAGAGGTAGCAGAAGGAGACGATGGTGATTCGAATGATCCCGCTCCTACGTTCTGACACGTTGACCATTTCTCTCGGGAAACGGAAGCTTACTGTAATCGATTATTACCTTAATCATAATTAATTGTTTTTGGGCTTTTATGGGTTTTTTCTTCTCTTGGGTTTAGGCCTAATAGTAGGCCCAACCTAAACCTCTAAGTTGGAAATTTTTTTGGAGAAGAGAACACTTTCATGGCAGCACGAGGATTAAAAAAAAAAGAAGATTTTTGGGAGTTTATTGCGCCTTATCTGCTCGTCATGAGTAGCCTCATGTTATGATTCGTCTTCCTCCTTAGCCATTCGCAGTAGCAAAAGGAGAGTCTGTTTTGTTGGTGATTTTTGTGAAATGGAAGCTACGAGGAACTTGGTTTCTTCATCTCCTTCGTTTCAGACGAAGACCCATCTCAAGAGCGGCTTCTCTTCTCCTTCCTCTGGTACCTCTTACCAGCATTTTAATTTGAATTTGTCAATGTTTGCCTCTGCTGATTACTAGAATTCGTTTGAATTTTGTTTCTCTCTTCCCTTTTGGTTAAGTTCATGGATTGAAAATTTCGAGTAGCGGAAAGTGTTTCATCATTCATGATTCATTTCTCGTTTGGATAATCGTTTCTTTTTTATATTATCAGCTCAAATTAGTAGAAAATGCAATAACTGAGACAGACATGGCTGTTCAAACAATCGTTCTGGATTTTCCTGTCAATAAGAGAGTTTTTGTTACCGTTTCTCTAATGTTTCTTCTCGGTATTTGCAGTAGTGATGCTCCATGAGCAAACAGCAACTCCTGTAGTTAACTCACGTCATCTCACTTCTCTATCTCGACATTTTCCTGCGTCGGTTCTCTCGCAGGAGCTACGGGAAGAATCTAAGCCTCTGTCACATGCGTTAAGAGAAGACAGAACATCTCAGGTGCATTTTATAGCAGCCGTATTGTTCTCAAAGCTTGAATCATAAAGCTCACAACTTTCTAGTCTCTGTTTGTATTTCAAATGTAAGTGATACCTATCTTTGGTTCCTTGCAATTTTTAGTTGACTCTGGAAAGGAGGCAGTTTGATGAGTTGGTATCCTCTCGAGAGGATGAGAAATTTGAACAGCAACTGCTTCACTCTGCTGGCTTATGGAATTTGTAATGTCTCTTCCTTTCTAAAACCCGCCGGTTTTGAATTTTCATTCGACCTATATGAGTTTCCTGAATATGAAGCCATTTCTTTTTTGCAGGTTGATATCTCCTTTAACAACAGAAAAGCAATTGCCAGCAGTTGTATCGCCTTCAGCAGATGCGGACCTTTGTGATTTGGTTGCACTAGCTCAGAAGGCTTTATCAGCTTCTAAACAAGCTGCATTGTTAGTTGAAAACTCTGAAGCAGATCCACCTGACAACCCCAGGGATTCGCTCTCCACTAGGTTGCTTTCTTAAACCTTGTTTGTCTGTATATCTCATTAATCTGCTTTTGCTACGTGCGGGCTATAATGTGAAAATATTTCTGTTTCTGGATGTTGGTTTTAGCTCTTCCATGTCCTTACCGGAAAAGGGAACCATAGTAAGATCGAAGCGGCAGCTGGAGAGACGAGCGAAAAACAGAAGGGCTCCAAAATCAAATAATATGGACAGTGAAGGTTATGTTCCCCAGAAAATTAACGCCAAGAAAAAAATGAAACAAGGGTTTGATACAGATGATGCGCTCCAGCTCTTCTTGTGGGGACCTGAGACAAAACAACTTCTGACTGCTAAAGAAGAAGCTGAACTAATAGCACATATACAGGTTCATGCTTCCCCTTTTCTTCTGTCCTTGGACTTCCTTCTTGTTGAGAAACTTTCCCTGATGTCAACCTTTGTAAACTTTGATACATCAGCATTTGATAAAGTTAGAGAAGGTAAAGACTAAACTTGAATCTCAAAACGGCTGTGAACCAACAATAGGCGAGTGGGCTGAAGCTATGGGGCTAAGTAGCCCTGTCTTGAAATCTGAAATCCACCGAGGCAGAAGCAGCCGGGAAAAGCTGATTACAGCTAACCTACGTCTGGTAGTCCATATCGCTAAACAATATCAGAATCGCGGACTCAACTTTCAGGACTTATTGCAGGTTAGCTTCAGACGAACCCATTGGTTTTGTCCTCTAAATATCTCTGATCAATATGATAAGCTATTTTGCATAGACACAGAAGATTTCTTGTTAAAGTACCTGAAACTGTTGTAGTATCTCGATTTCTTCAGTATTTCGGGTGTGCCATAGAGTTATCTAACTTGAAGTCCATTCTTATGATGCTTCTTCTTGTGTTTATCTATTGGTTCTTAGGAAGGAAGCATGGGGCTAATGAAGAGTGTAGAGAAGTTTAAACCGCAATCCGGATGCAGATTCGCTACTTACGCCTACTGGTGGATTCGACAATCCATTAGAAAGTCGATTTTTCAAAACTCGAGGACAATCCGTTTGCCGGTAAATACACTCTTGTTAAAGATCACATCTTTCTCAGATACTAGAGAATAAAGCATCAACCTTTAAAGCAAAATTGGTAAAATCTACTCTTGTTAATACAGGAGAACGTGTACATGCTTCTGGGCAAAGTATCCGAAGCCAGAAAAACGTGTATTCAGGATGGAAATTACCGTCCGAGTAAAGAACAGCTCGCAAGCCACGTTGGGGTTTCAACAGAGAAGCTCGATAAACTTCTATACAATACAAGAACACCTCTTTCAATGCAACAGCCCATTTGGTCTGATCAAGACACCACCTTTCAGGTAACCCTTTTTTTTGGAAGATGTTACTTTGAGTGAGCGTAACCTGGTAATAACCGTTTACTCAAATCCATAGGAAGTAACACCAGACAGTGGGATTGAGACACCGTCGATGAGCGTGGGGAAGCAGTTGATGAGGAACCATGTACGGAATCTCCTCAATGTACTAAGCCCGAAGGAGAAAAGGATCATCAAGCTGAGATTTGGGATTGATGGCGGGAAACAGAGATCATTGTCGGAGATAGGAGAGATTTACGGGCTGTCGAAGGAGAGAGTAAGGCAGCTAGAGAGCCGAGCATTGTACAGGCTTAAGCAGAACATGAGTAGCCATGGACTCAATGCTTATGCTGATTTGCTTGTTTAGCTCATGGAGATATTGGCTTCTTCTATAAAAAAATGTCTATACAGAATATACTTTTGTTGTATAAGGGTTTTTGTTGATATTCTGAGGAATAGTGCTTTCTTGGATTAGAGTTTTGTCGCTAAAACTTTGCTTCATTTTCTCCATATTTTGGTAATGAAAAGGAGGGATTACGAATTGTGCAGATCTATTTATTTTGAAGACCTTTACTGATAATAAAGAAAGTGGTGCAAAGGTTCGATGCCCCCCCCCCCCTCCCCCTCTTAATTTTCACTGTTTAGTTTAGTAGTTATTTTATCAATATTATATATTTTGCCAGTCAAAACAAATTTTAGCTTCGCCCATTACTTTAAAAATACAATCAACATTATAAAATTTTCAAATATGTTCACTATACATATATTTTTTGTCAATCATTTTGAAGTAGGTATGTTAATATATGTTTATATTCTATTGCAAATTCTTGAGTGCTTTATAAAAAAAACAAGAAAAAAAAATCTATGGATAAATAACATATATATGAGTTGTCTTGTAACACAACATTTTCACATGTTCATTCTATAGTAGATAGACAATCCTGCTTCCATATCTATAACATAGCTACTGCCCTACATAACATCCACCGCTTTTGTTCTAATACAAACAAATAGAGATGAATAAAACTATGACATGTTTATTATGCATTTTGAATAGATTGACATATATTTGTATGTTTCTTCATATATAATAATAGTTGGGGATCCCACATCAAAATTCAAATTAATGTATTGTGAAAATAGGATTTTTGGTATTTTTAGAAATTTATTATAACCAACTGTGATTGAAGTTAGGGTTATATATAATAGTGGAAAAACTCGAATAAGAGTCTTCCGATCCCATTGTGAAACCTTCAAAGGATCACCGTGAGTTAATTCATATATTTATATGCTATGTAATAATTGACCTGTGTGTTAAAGAGATCAATGTTGAGCTTCTTTTTAATTCAAAGTTTCAATTTCTTATATATAGAGACAAATCTTGAAAAATATTAAAATTTTAAGGCCTTTATATTTTTCCAAAATGAAAGGTACAATTCAAATTTGATACGCAAAATGTCAGAAAAAGCGTGTAAAAGGTAATATCGTACGAACCCAATAAATTGCAATGAAGACGACAATTCTTACAGATGGTAGGGTTCGGCTTACACGGACGACCACTCACGTTCAGGTGCATGCCAATGCGGCAAATGCCTCAACCATTAAGTAGCTCAAACATTGATTTACATTTAAGGTCGACCAAAATAATTAATAAAAACTATATTTTAATTTAACTGTGCATCACAATGCTTTGTTTCTTTCCCTTACGACATAACATAAGTTACATAAACAGTGTAACTCTTCTTTTTTTCAACAGTGTCAGTGTTTCCCTTTGGTTTTCTTCATATCTATGGATACATGATTTACTTTGCAATTCCAGAATAAATCTATTTCATGTGTATTTTTGATTAGCTATTTTGGTAAACTACTAAATCAATTTTGCTTCAACATTAACTTTCACATTTTAGGTATATGTCATTTATTACTATCAGTCTATCAACATATCAAGTAATTAACATTCAAATAATCATTTGCATTTCCATAAAGAAGGGTAATGAGATTAGGTTTAAGTTTCTTAGGTTTTTTTTTTCCTTGATAGTTTATTACTTCCTGTCTTTCCTCAAAGGGATATCGTTTCAAATTACGATAAAAGTGAAGCTATCTGAAACAAAGAGTTCGAGAGGAGAAAGAGAATTACATCGTTCCATATAGTCCATATATAGGATAATTGCAACAACCGGAACAATGCATCAACCATAATTTTGTTATATTTAGCAAAAACAAAACATCAACCATGAGGTCCATGACCATGACAATCAAGTTACGTCGGTGAAAAGAGTTTTCAATGTTATGCAAAAGTAAATAAATTAAATAATCACCGCCGTATGGTTCGTCTTGAAAGTTAGTAAAAAAAGCACTTTAGGGTTTTTGATAATTCTTGCTCCCTCAACTTGACAACTATATATACTAAACTCTCCGTTTGTCTCTCTTCTACAAATCAAAGCTCATAAGCTTCTACCTTCAAACTCTTGCATTTCTTGCACCCTTATTTTGTTATTTAAAAGATTTTTTTATACTGTGGCCGTACTCGCTAAGAGAAGAAACCAATCAATGGCACCGGAGGAGAATCGCACATGCGAGCCTTGCAAGACTTTTGGGCAAAAGTGTAGTCATATTGTGAAGAAACAGAGAGCCAAGTTATATATTCTTCGACATTGTATCGCCATGCTAGTCTGCTGGTGCAACCACAACCGCGACCGTCACGAGTCTTGATTACGTGATAAATTTAATTTCCTATTCTAATTAGCGTTTGTTTTTTCTTTTTCGATCAAGATATGTAACCTATTAATTCATGCTAGTGTTGTGATTGTTATCATCTGGGTTCAAATTCGTCATAATGCATGTTAACGTTGTTTTGTGTGGTTATCTTGGGTTGGGTTGTCATCTTCGTAATTTTTAAAAATATATCATTTATATACATATCAATGTGCATACGAAAATTGGAGAGGATTTAAGTGTTTTTGTAGCTTTTTAATACGTTTGGTTGCAACTTCATCTTAAGTTTTATTATGTTTTCGACATTTATATAAATACATGGTTAGTTCATCTAGTTTTAAGCGCGATGTTGTTTATGCTGAGTTGCTGACCAGATTTTAAGTTTGAGTACGACATCTCTTAGAGAAACTAAAATGGTTGATCTTCAATGGGAAATTTGTAAAACAAACCCTTAAAGTATATTCACCACAATCCTCGCCACTTATATATAAAATTATATATGTTTGTTTGTAAGTTAACAAAAAATATGGATGGGCACAATTGGTAATGTTTGAAGTTATAATGTATTGCAGGTTTTAAGTAAGATAAATGATTTTTTTTTTTTGGTCAAGGATAAATGATTGTTTTGCAAAACAAAAGAAACAAAAAATTTGAGGCTTTAATTTGTTGCATATATTCCATCTTGAATCAAGCTAAGAGAATAATTGGACAAAAACAGATATATTTTTCTGCCAAAATTAATCAGCCTGAAGCCCTGAAGTACAGCAAATACTTGAAACGTGGAAAAATTATGGTCTTTCATAGTTTGTAAATATTCGTAATTTGTTAATTTAAAGTTGAGGATTTAATAAAAGGTTCTATTGTAAATCACTGAATCAGGATATATATCAAAATAGACGCTGTCATACATTCTAAAGACAGAAACTTCTCTGCTTTAGAATATAACACATCAAAAGTCATCATCAGATTTGGAGTCACAGACTCCATCTCTTCTGCGCGTGTTGTGCTTGTCCTTTCTTAATTCTCTTGTTTAAATCCGTATGTTTTCTTTTGTTCAGATTTCTTGAATCATGGTGGTTTAGTTACTTTAGTAATCAGTTAATGTCACTTGTCAGTAATATATTAACATTTTCTGCTATATAGTATATTAATTAAGGGGACCATGAAAAAGCGTAAGACAAGTGAAAATTATTACATTTTACTCTGTACTTTTTCTTAAAACACACATTGTACAGTATTATATATGCAGGTTCCGATTCGGGTATGATATAACAATGACACTAACACTACAACGTACGTACTATGAACCACTAGATCATATATCACGGTCATTTACTTTTGGGGTTAAAAGGAGAATAAAACATACATGAATGAAATCCAAGACTTAGATGGTCGAATACTTGTGATTTCTGTTGGTATTACAATTTACACCATCCACAATCGATGCATATAGAAATTTTTCACTTCAGAAATATGTTGAGGATAAAAAATAAAGTAAGTGATGTTGACCAGAAAGGGAAAAAAAGAAGCAAACTACGCGATCATAATATTCGGTTAATCAAGGTTAAGAAATTAATCTCAATGACTGTTTTTTTCGACACGCGTTCGAGTTATTATATAAAGGCAAACTAAGTGTTGTTGACCCAAAAAGAAAAGCAGCTAAGTGATGTTGACCCCCCAAAAAAAAGCAGTTAAGTGATGATATGACTCCATTAATCTAGGTTAAGAAATTTTCTGCATGACTGTTTTTCCCACACGCTTACAAATCATTTAGTGCGGCTGCGAATTCAGAATATACTGAAAATTTCCAACCATAAAAAGAAAGAAAATGGAGTAACACTGACTGAATTTGTAAGAAATAAAGTAGGAGAATAGGGATAGAAAATAATTATGAAGAAGTTCAGTACGACCTACAAGAGCCCACGTGATCTTGTAGTCAATTTGGTACGAATCATATGCAATCTAAATTTTGACTAGCAGGTGACAGATAAGTAAATTATTTGTTTTAACTGCATGACACCTGTTTGAAAACACGAATTGTCTTCACATACTTGCTCTGTTTCTTAATAACATATTCTTGTTTTCGTGTCAAATGTTTTGTATTTTCTATGTAAATTTTTGTGTCACAATTTTCCGTTTCATCTTATACCGGCTGCAAGTAAAAAAAAAATTGAAAAATTAATATTTATTAAAGAATAACGGTATATAAGATGTTGACATGTTGTATAAAAATTCTTAATATGTGTATTAACATTTCAATCATCTAAAGTTGTGAAACGTATGGAGTATTTCGACCTTAGAAACATCCCTGAACTAGTGCCTCGTATAACAACTAAAAGATTTTAGACATGAAGTTGGATGACATATCAAAACTCATCTCTTCACTAGGTTCCACTATCTTAAGAGCTTTGCCAATTTCTCTACCTAATTATGCGTGCCAATATACAGAACAAGCACTCATAGCAACAAAGATTAAGAACATTTTGATGATCAACATTAAATGAATCGTTACCATGTGGAGATGAAGCTTTCTTAATCAGATGGAATAGGGGAGCCTGAGTGATCAGCTAGATTGGTTTTTGTTTAATTATATGATAACCATACCAGATATATTATCGATAGGGTTTGCATGCAAAACATACATAAAATGACTAGACAATTACATAGCTTCATCTGATGGACTTATTTCTCTAGCCCATTTACATTACGTAATTTAGTTTCCATTCTATCTCGTACCTCACCAACGAACGAGTTAAAGTTCGTCTCCGAAGATCCAACGGCTGTAACCGCATCTTTTAGATGATGTTTAACTTTTCCAACGTTATTTCTCAGCTCACTTGAAGTTTCTCCGTTGATCATCAGCTTTCTAATATTAGCCGAGACTTGCTCCCTTGTGATCGTTTTCCTCTCGCAAAGGTTAATCCCAATGCGCCAATCATCAACCACAAGCTTCCTATTCGTGAACTGGTCGGTTAAAAGCGGATAACACAATAACGGTAAACCGAACCAAACGCTCTCTAGAATCGAATTCCATCCACAATGTGTTAAAAACCCTCCAACCGCCCGGTTTGAGATCACTTCCATCTGACAACACCACTGGACCAAGAGGCCTCGACCTTGGGCCTGATCTACAAACCCGGATGGTAGAAAATCCGGCACATTGGATCCAACTATATCGGGACGTAAAACCCAAATAAAACTAAGTCCACTTAGTAAAAGGCCATGGGCTATCTCAACGATCTCCTTCTTACCAACATGCGCATAGCTTCCAAAGGAGGCGTATAAGACCGAACCGGCAGGCCGGCCCTTGAGCCACTCGGTACAATCTGATTCTGCCCATAGGCTCGTGGGGACAACCGATTGGGTTGAGAAAACCGGACCGATAGCATAAACCGGTTGTTTGGCTTGTAGAGCTGAGAGAGAACCTGGTTCCAGCTCTTGCACGGTGTTGCATAAAACGAAATCGGCTCTCTTGACGTCTTTAAAGGCCTTGAATAGTATTCTATAGACCACTGTGTTTGTGTCTATGTCTTTGTCGCTCACTTGAAGATATGACATCAAGTCCTTTGGCTCTATTGCTTTAACCCCTGGCACGTAATCGATCACGTCTTCACGATTATCTACAAATGATGTCATTAAACCGTATAATTACGTGTGGAATATTCTCTCGAAAATTCATCAACGATCTAGTCACCGATTTCCACAAAAATACACAAATCATGAATGTATCTTTTCTTCCGATATAATACACAAAATTTCGAATCATTTATGACTCGTGTTAAATTTCAAAATGATTGATATCTTAAATGACAAAATACAGACCCAAAATTTGGTGATATATAGCTAGATTAAATAATTCTTAGAATTTTAGCAATATATTGTTGTACATATTGTTTATCAATATACTAAATAATTTGTTTCTCTAATGTAAAAAATTTCTAATTAACGGCTAGCTAGATTCATAGAAATATATCTGGTTTAAAATTTTGTATTGAAAAATACACGAAAACACTTCAAGTGAAACAAAAGTTATAAGATAGTTATGAAACAGATGAGTAGTAAACTGTAAACACAAGATTAACATGAATTAAGATAGTTACCGAGAGATTTGAAATGACCGTTGGATATGAGCAGATCCATGTGATAATAGAGATTAAGGACCAAAGCAGGTTCGGTCCAAAACGAGACATTAACGAGGTTGTGCTTGTCGCAAATCACAGATGACCAAACGTAAAACGTGTCGGCGATCAAGCAAGTCACCGGAGGATCATCATCCTGGCGGGCAATTTTGGCGATGAGATCATCAACATGGGCAGAGAAGACGTGGAGAATGCCTTCGAAGAATTGATCATGGTTAAGCGAGCGGTCAAACCCCAAAGGAAAACCGTCGCTCACGGTTGTGTAACGTATGTCAAGGTGGCCGGAGCTGCAGGCGGTGGAGAAGATGTCGCCGGCGTCACCGTGGAGAGCGGTGGAGATGTGGTGGTGGATAGAGTCGGTGTTGACAAAAGTGATGGTAAAGCCATGAGAAGCGAGTTTGATGGCTAAGTGTACAAAAGGGATGACATGGCCTTGAAGTGGGTATGGTATCATCATGGCATGAGGCTTCTTCGACTTTGCTCTCTCCATTTGATTCTTTTTTTTTTTTTGATGAGTTTGATTTCTTTTTTCGTATTTTGAGTGGTGTATATGACTAGATATTTATATATGGTATAAGTGGAATTTTTCTTCTTCTTCTGGTAAAGGTGTTTAGTGAATATCTAATGATAACATGCATGTAGAATCTTTTGGAAAAACTTGAAACACATTATTAAATGAAACGAATGAGGCAAAAGAAAACTTGAATGGAAATTCTCTTTTATTTTTTAGGCATTATCTTATAGGAGAGTTTCGTATTTAACCCATATTTCAAAGTAAAACACAAAATTAACCTCTATTTTTTCTTTCTCCAATTTTTGCCATTTTCTCACAACTTTATCCTTCCCACTTAAACTATTAACGAAAATACCATTATACATCTAATAATTCGATTTTTCTTTATTTGGCTAAAGTCTTCTTGGACCTTCTAAAGACTTTTTAATTACGAGAATGTCATCGTCTTCAATACCTTCAACCACCATGAACAACCATGAAAATGGAATAAATGCTTATCAACCAATTTTAAAGCAGTAATAAGTAAATCTTTAAGCTCATTCACTCATAACCTTCCTCATTCTTTCATAATTTCTTCTCCAAAACATCTTGGCTAAGTTACAATGCCAAAAATCATGCATTTTTGGTGATGTCTGGTTACTTAACATCTGGGTTGCTTATTTTTGGTGATATTCTGAGTTCTGGGTGCTTAAAATAACTGTAGCCGAGCTCAATTTTGTAAAAGGTAATCGTCGCACTTCAATTTCTCCATATTTCAGTTTTCATATCGCGAAAGTAGACTTCTCGTGAAGTATTGTGAAGTCTACTAGTCAACATAAGGTTACTTTTGCAATTGACTTTTTAAAAGTAGACTTCGTTAAACTTCACGAGAAGTCTACTCGACATCCTTTGAAAACAAAAAAAAGCTTAGTAGACTTCGTTTGAAGGCTCAAGAAGTCTACTAAAGAAAAGAGGTTATTTTTGTAGTTGACCGTATTTTGACTTTTTGATTTAGACTTCCGTATGAAGTCTACTGCTTACGTCTGCATACGAAGTCTACTTTAAGGTTACTTTTGTAGTTTGACCAAAAACGTATAGGTCATTTTAGTGTTTGACTTCTGTTTTTCAAAAATTAAAAAATTTAAAAAATCCCAAAAAACTTCAGTAGACTTATTGTGTTCTTTGTGAAGTCTACTTATTGTGTTCGGTCAAACTTGGAAGGAATCTTTTTTTTTAGTAGACTTCATCGTGAAGTCTACTAAAAAAATTCAATTGCAAAAATAACCTATTTTGTTCCGTAGACTTCTATTTAAAAAGTAGACTTCAAAAGTAGACTGCCAGAGAAGTCTACTCTTACATGAAGTCTACAATAGAAGTCTACTATGTTAGTCAATGCATTGGTCAATTGCTAAAGTAACCTTTTTTGCCTAAAGTCTACTCTTGAAGTCTCCTGAAGGAAAAGTCAACAGATTGGTCAATTGCAAAAATGACCTTTTTTTAAGTAGACTTCATTAGTAGACTTCTCGATGAAAAAGTAGACTTCTCCTCCAGTCTACAATTGAAGTCTACTATAGAAGTCTACTTTCCTATGTTTTTTTTAAAACGCGTTTTAAGCAAATGTATAAACTATTTTTCAAATTTTTTGGTTCAGAACTGCTTCTTAGTAAGTGATTGAACTACCCATTAAATTTTATTTCATTTCATTGGATATTTATTGTTGAATCACAAGTTTCGATTTTTTAGGTACTTAGCTTATCAAAGTAGACTTCTCCTCCAGTCTACATTCGAAGTCTGCTTTAGAAGTCTACTTTTGACGTTTTTTTAAAAACGCGTTTTAAGCAAATTTATAAACTATTTTTCAAATTTTTTTGTTTAAAATTGCTTCTTAGTAAGTGATTGAACTACCCAGTGAATTTTATTTCATTTCATTGGATATTTATTGTTGAATCAGAAGTTTCGATTTTTGAGGTACTTAGTTTATCAAAGTAGACTTCGTCGTGTAGTCTACTAATGTTCTTTTATGTGGCTTTAGATATAATGTGTTGTCTTAGGTGATAAAAATACATAACATGACCAATACACTTATGCTTATTACAAATGATGACCAATAGATATTTCTATTGTTACTTACGTTTTTGCAATAATATGGTTCATAATTTTGTTTGCTAATATGGTTTTTTTGTGTTTTATCACAAAATATTGTTTATAGAGAATGATAGATGAGAACTTGTGTAAGTAATGCTTTTGTATTCTTGTTAAAGTTAACAGTTATAGTACACAAGTAATTAAAGTGACATAAGCTAATTTTAAAACATTATCTTGGACACATTTGAGTATTTTGTTATGTGCATTCAAGAGTTTCGATCATTTTTACAGCTTATTATCATCACATTCCTATGCCAGCCAAGAAATGTAATTGTTTCTACGTATTGTTTTAGACTGATTTGTTTCAATATATATACATCATTCTGGGTGAGAGACATGCATAACACT